TGTGTGTCTGTGTGTCTGTGTCTGTGTTAGTGTGTTTGTGTGTCTGTGTGCGAGGCAGGGTTGTGTTAATTAGAGTTTATTAAACGTGTGTGCAGACGTTGGAGAGGAACTGGAGGACGATCAGGGACGAGGCTCTGGCTGTGATGGATCAAAACACCGGACTGTTCGTACCTGAGGAGGAAAACCTGCGAGAGAAAGGAGAGTGGGGCCAGTACACACTGTGGCAACAAGGTACACACACACACACACACACACACACACACACACACACACACGCACACACACACGTCTGATGAAGCTGATTCTGACTGTGTTCAGGGAGGAAAGATGGAAATTCATGTCAGGGCGTCCAGAAGACGTGTTCACTGCTGGAGAGATACACTGAAGCTACAGGCTGCAAGAGAGGACAGGTACACACACACACACACACACACACACACACACACACACACACACACACACTGTCTGAAAGCAGCTTTAACGACACAAAACAAACCTTGAACTTGGATGGATGCGTCGGCCCTCATCACCAAAACATCTGGAACCTCCTCGTCTTTCCAAGTGGACGTCTTCGTCTTCTACGTGTACGGCAGTGTTCAGAAACTCTGAATGTGTGTGTGTGTGTGTGTGTGTGTGTGTGTGTGTGTGTGTGTGTGTGTGTGTGTGTGTGTGTGTGTGTGTGTGTGTGTTCAGATTAAGTTCTCGGTGATGCAGCCAGGAACTCATGTTTGGCCTCACACTGGTCCGACTAACTGCAGACTGAGGATGCACCTCGGCCTCGTCATCCCCAAACATGGCTGCAGGATCCGCTGCACCAACCAGACCAGGTGCTGCTCTCCTCTTCACCTTCGTCCTCCTCTTCACCTCCACCTTCGTCCTCCTCTTCACCTTCGTCCTCCTCTTCACCTCCACCTTCGTCCTCCTCTTCACCTTCGTCCTCCTCTTCACCTCCACCTTCGTCCTCCTCTTCCTCTTCACCTCCACCTTCGTCCTCCTCTTCCTCTTCACCTCCACCTTCGTCCTCCTCTTCCTCTTCACCTCCAGCTTCTACTCTTTTTATTTTTTACAAATCTCATCTTGTCTTTTTCCACCTTCAGATTTTCTGTCCTCTCTTATTCTTTCCCTCTTGCTTGTTGTGTTGGATCAGTTAATGTTCAGTGATAGAATAAATAAAAGTCAGTGTTTCTTCTTCTTCTTCTTCTTCTTCTTCTTGTTCTTCTTCTCCTCTGTGCATCACAGGGAGTGGGAGGAGGGTAAAGTCCTGATCTTCGACGACTCCTTCGAGCACGAGGTTTGGCAGGACGCCGACAGTTACCGCCTCATCTTCATCGTTGACGTCTGGCACCCAGAGTTAACGAAGTACCAGCGCCAGACTCTGAGCGCCATTTAGGAACCGGACGTGACGGAGGACTGCAGACCCGCTGACAATCTGAACTCTTGTCAGAAACACGAGCAGCTGAGTCTGAGAGGAGACAGACAGCGGGATTTTTTTTTTTTGCTTCGTTTGTGGATAAACTACTTAAACTGCAGCGGACGAAGGACGAAGGATGGAAAATAAAAATCCAAATGATTCTGGGAAATACTACTGACTTGACATTTCACCAAAAACCACAGTGACACCTGCGGTACTAAGAATCAGGTTCACGGTCCTACATGCAAATCATCTGTGAATATTATGGAAATGTGTTTTTCTAACCCCGGAAACTTTTTGAAACGTTGTCACTTTCAGGTGTTTTGATTTTTCCCAAAGGTACAAAAGTTACTGAGGCTCAAACCCGTTCATAATGAATACGTTTAATTTTGTGTAAGAAACACTAAAGTCTCCTTCATTCCATTACAAAGCTCATCCACATTTTAAGAATGTTGCTGATCTCTGAAAGGTCACGTTAACAAAGAGAGACAGCGTCATTTTAGCTCGACCACTGTGCATTTCTGTGTTCACGCAGCTGGGTTTGAATTTTCTCGTTTTCACAGTAACAAGAAAACGTGAGATTCTATAAAAGAGGATTTATATTTATATAAAAAAATACAACCAGCAAAACAACATGTGTTTGTTTCTTTGTCACAAAGCTCGGATCCAAACGAATGTTTCACTTGGACTTTTGTTTCTCACTCGATGTTTCAACAGTCGTGGAAACCTTAGTTTTATTTCAAATTAAAAGTCATAGAAAAACTGAGGGAACACAGAGCCGTTGTTTCAGTGGAGTCACTGTGCAGTTAGATCCAGACTCTAACAGATCACGAGCTCAATGTGGATTCGGAGGCAGAGAGTGAACTGTGATTGGTCGGCTCGTCTTCTCTCAGTAACTGTTGATCGGCTCCAACTCGAGCTGCTCAGCTTCAGTTGGCTGAAGCTCAAAGAAACTCAAAAAAGAAACAGTGGCGTAGAATCTGTCAGATCAACAAAGACGAACCAGTGAAAACTCTAAATGCTCAGAGAGGCGACCTCCCCACTGTTCTACAGATTCAGAAACTTCCAGGAAGTTTTCTTTTTGAATCAGAGAGGAAACGAACTGAGCCTGAACTGAACCCGACTGGAGCTCGAATATTTGTTTCTCAACTCAACAAACTCAAGACGCCAGCGTGGCCAGACCCGGAAAAGTTTCCGACGTTTTGTCTAAACGCAGGTTAAGCCTGAGCCTGTCGGACCGTCTAGTTTCCACACTCTAGTTAAACCGGGTTTAATCTCAACGCTCTCAGAATAACAAACAGCCGTCATGTTTTATTTGTGGATGCTTCTCATCTCTTTGGAGAAGCTTCATTCTGCAGGTGACAGATGTGACTCACTCACAATGTCTATTAATAATATTCACTCAGGCCTGAGTGAGTGAGCTCTGCTTTTATTTCTCATTTCAGAGTGAATCTCTTCTTTTAATCTCCAGTGTTTCAGACTGACGAAGAGTTAGTTAGCAGCAGTTAAAACTAAGTTGTTTTAGTTTCAGAATCAAATGAAGTTTACGTTCAGAGACATTCAGATCAGCTGCTGCAGTGAATCCACCTCATGATGAGATTTGTCCAGAGATCTGGAACCTTCCTAGTAAGAAAACTTTTTTAATTTCTGCCTCTGGACCAAACAAACGTGAATATTCTGAGAACGAAAACTAAAAGTGGAGAAACAGATTTCTGGTTGTTTTTCGATGCAGCAGCTTTTTAAAAATCAGACTTATTCCAAAATAAAATCGCTGCTGTTAAACACAACACGACCAGGTTGGTGTAAATGTTTAATTCTATACATTCATTGAAAGGAAATACATTACATCACAGTCGAGTGGAGACCAGTGTAGCCCTGATGATGAGTCTAACACAACAAAATCATCACACGCTTCAAGTCACTCTCAGTTTTTATGAATAATCAACTTATGTCCCGAAACTTTTTAGTGAAATCATCAACTTTTTTAATCTATTCCCATGTTTTCAGAAATCTCCTTTATTTCTGTCACAGGACATGAAGATGATTTCACTTCAAATATCTCGAGAGCGACTGGATGAGTGTGCCACTGTTCTTGTTCTTCTTCTTAATAATACAATAAAATACAATCTTCAATAAAAACCAACATTCAGTGCAGGAGGTTCAAGGTGATCGTTTCTTCAGAAAGAACATTTCATCCCGGCAGAAGACCAACAGCTGGTTTACAGTGTGAGACATGTGCAGTGCTTTTATTTTGAAATGCTTGTGCGATGATGGTCTGGCTTGATGTGATTTTGTTGTTTCACATTAAAAGAAAAAAATGGAAAATATTCTTCTACCAACGTGAAGCTGATGTTTCCGCCTCCGTCAGTTTCACACAAGTAGTTTTTATTTAACACTTCAGCCGGTGGAGAAATAACTTAGAATAAAACTGATTTCGATTTTTGATTCACAGCTCAGAAAACTCTGAAGATAAAAACTGGATTTCACCAACAAGGATTTTTAAACCTGGATTCAATCACATCTTCCTCTCTTCAGCTCCACGTCTGGTCTCCAGCGCTCGAGGCCGAACAGAAACAGAACCAGGAACTAAAACAGGCTGAGAGAGCTGACGTTAGTTATTTAGCTCTGTTGCTAATCCTCACGCTACAGAAACTATTTATATCAGCTGTAGTCAGATGATCATTAGTGTGACATCATCATACCTCCCCCAAAGCTTTGTGGGAAAAACGTAGAGCATTTGAAACTCGTTTCTACGAAACTACGATGAAACTGATCTCAGTTTAAATTCATCCTTGTTGATGCTTCCAGATCAAAACGTTCCTCAGAGACGAGATTCTGAGTTTAAATAAAGTTTCTCAGGTTTTCACAGAAAGTTTAGTTGTTGACGTCAGAACAGATGTTGATGACATCACATGGCTCAGAGACAGACTGTGTGTGTGTGTGTGTGTGTGTGTGTGTGTGTGTGTGTGTGTGTGTGTCCGTGTCCACTATACCTTTGACCTAATGT